TGAAAATGACCACTGATGCCCAGATGGGTGCAGCGAGGTCCATGGGCTTAAGGGCACTCACTCAGCACCCTGCCAAGACCTCCCTTGCACTTAGTAACCCTTACTTCAGGACATTTTTAATCAAGACTTGGTATCTGGTTTCTAAAATCACAAAACAGAAAATGGCTGGCATAATGACAAAAATATGAATTGGCAGTTGAGGGGAAGAGAAAAGGAAGAGAAATGAAAAAAAAAAAAACATCTAAAATAGCACAGCAGTTGGAGGCTATTTAATATCAACTCAAAATGGATCATTACAACTCATTAACAGGCTTTGTTCATTAATTATGAACCTTGGAGTTTCATAATTATGGCTCCACCTTTAATACTAACTGCAATTACCCTGAGTGTTCAACAAAGATTGAACATGTTTAAAAAAAAAAAAAGAATCCAAATGAAACACTGGTATAAACACCGTCAAGCTAAAAATACTGCAGATATCATGTTTAGTGAACCAAATTTCCCCTGCTTGTTTTCTTCATTAGGGAGTTAAATAAGTCTGCAGCATCTATTGATTCCATATTTATATAAGAGTAGTGTTTACTTTTTGAAAATTGAAGTCCAAGTGGACTGACAGTGGAGCCAATTAAACTGCACTGTCCACGGAGTACATCTCACAGGCTGGGAGCCCAGAACATCTTTTCTTGGCTCCCAGAGTAAATCTCAAATGGCACTAGAGATTTACCTTCACTGACTCACATTCTCTGCAGCTTTTCTTTTCATGACTCTGTGCCATTGTTTTTGCTTGGGAATTTTGGTCAAATTGGATAGGAATTCTGGTTGGCATACCACTGAGAGTTATCCCCATTGGTGGCATGCAATGACTAGTCTTTTTTTTTTTTTTTTTTTAATGGTTTGACCACTTAGTGACCTGTCAGGTAGAAATGGAATCTATCCTTCTTAAGGTAAGAAATGACAAAGCATTTGTTTGTTGCTTTTGTTGTTTGGAACTTGTTTGGTTTCTATTTGTGTCCCAGATCAGAAAAATAATTTGTTCCCAATGGAAAAGCAACCAACCTTTTGAGAGCTGAGGAGTGACATTTGTTTCAGTGTTTACTTTTAAGGTATGGTTGAAGCTGTAGAACTTACGCTACAGTCTTTGAGGAAAAAAAAAATCACTGGGTTTGTGTAAATATTTTCCTTCCTCCTGAGGATAATAATAAATTATAGAATAGCTCTACTGCTCTGACTGGTTTATAAAAATTTACAAGGATTTAAACAATTCCAACATGCCCAAAAATTCCAAAAAAATAAAGGAAAAATTCTCATTCTTTAAATATTTTTAAGGAAAAGACCTTTCTTATTAAAACTGATTGACAATCTTTCTTTTTTTCTATTAAAAAATAAGTTGTATATAAAATAAATCCTTACACAAATCAGACTGACTGGATAACTTGGTTCAAAAAAGTACACACTACACATCTTTTCTTTGTTTAATCTGTGTATAATTAATCCACGTATAATCTCATCTTAAAGACATTTGGAACTTGTTTTAATACGAAAAGACTAGTATATTTGAACTTCTAAAATGCCTTATCTTAGTTTACTAAAAATATAAGCTGTCAAGCAACCAAAATCTTATATTATTTAAGTGAAGAAATCTCCTCTAATTAATATTTGATTTTGCTTTCCCCCCCAAATCAGACAGATATCTTATATCTAAACTATCTTCAAGTTTTATTAAATACTCTATATAATCATCTGTATAAGTTTTGTTTTTTAACCTTACAAAAAGAAAGCTGCTATATTAAGTTTGTTTACAATAGTTTTAAACTGTCCAACATAGGGACATATATGAAATAAAATGAGATATTCAGCGTTCCCTAAGATAATTCCATACAGGTAAAATACCATTATTATTAATATTATTAAAAGTGCTCAAAATTATGTACATGTGTTACAGAAATGTTCTGCATAGACATTAGTGTTCTCACTGTAATATGCCCTTACATTCAGGGGAAACACTGATTAAATAAGACATTAGTCTTACATCCTGATAAAGAATTTGAGCTCTCCACGCTGATACTATTTGTTAAATAGCCATAAATTCACCACTGCTATTTGTTCTTACTTTCACCACATGGTCTCAGTGTCCTCTGAAGTTTGCCTGAAGACTGTGCCTAAATTGTGGGCTAGAATGTGCCTTCTACAAAGACAGTTTCAGAGCCTCACAGATAGGACCTTATCAAGTCCTCCTGACATTTCAGAGAACAGACCTGTAGGGAGAAGGTGCTGAGCTGACCTGGCCTTGACTAGAATGAGTTCTAGGAAGCTAAATCAGATTTTTAGAACTATTTTTAGTTCATAAATAGATGATTTAATGAAATCAACACAGTGGTCCAAATTGCAGTTAAATAAGAATTAATTATATAGGACTACTTGAACTGTTGATGGAAATCAAATTTCTAATGTGGATATGTGTTTTGGAGTATTATTGGTATGATTTTGAATCTTTTGTTGTAATGGGGAAACCCTCTAGCATTCATCTTCATCTATCTCCAATCTTTAATTTAGTTGACTCTGATTGGCAAACTAAATGAAATATTCTTTTTAGCGGGTAGTTTGTTCTTATTGACCCCTTAGAATTCAGGAAGAAATAATTTTGAGGCACTTTACTTTTCAATGGCCATATCACTTTAGTTTTCAATGTCACAAACTCAATAATAAACAGTCCTTCTTTTCTAAGACAAATAACTATATGTACATGGAGTGTCACCTTTAAAAAAAAAAAGCCTCATTTCATCAAGTATGACAAGCCCAATACTAAGGAAAAGGGATTACAACTTAGTATTTGGAACAATATCCATAAAACTCTCACAAAAAGTTAAATCTGTTTATGACTTAGAGGGTCCCAACCTTATAGTCAGTAAGAATGGTCACTCTGGGTTGTCAAGAACCTTAGCATACTTGGAAAATCTAGAGGTAAGAGAGATTCGCTAACATTTAAAGATTCTAAAGATTTTTTAAAGATTCTAAAACCCAATGTAGACAAATTTCTTGAGTTTTGCTTTCTGTCCTTGTAATAGAATACTTAAGAAGATTTAAGGAAGATTTCTGGAGTGATAGAATCCATTGAAAACGTTCTCCCTCACTCCTTGATAAATTATCAAATGGAGTTATTTTTCTGGCTTTATTAATAATAGTTGATCAGCACAGTAGATATCAGCTGTCAATTTATAAGAAAGTATTTATATGCTAATTAAAACTTCCGAATTTACATCAAGTGTGGGAGGCCAACCTTATGGGTGACTGAGTTATACCCCCCAGCTGGGTGCTGAGGCGCTCAGTCACAGAAATGGGTGTGTCTTGCTACAGCCCCATGGGTGAAGCTATGCTCACCTGTTCCTTCATAATATTACCCCTTGCCCTGTTTAGGATAGAATCTTCCATGGAAGTGCCTTGTGTGTGTCCCCTCCTCTTACTGTGCCCTTGGGTGTGGCCTACCCAGGTGTCAGTCAACCTGCTGACAGTGAACATCATGAAGATAGACTCAGCCCCTGAAACCTGACCCTTTGCCTCATTTGAATAGCTTCTCCTCAATAAAAGGGGTCAGCGCGTGCTCTCGCTCTCTCTCTTTCTGTGGACCCTTAAGGTCAGAGGAGCCGTCACAGCAACCCCAAAGAAAAAGGTATTTGTGTCTCTTGTGTGGTTATTTCGTGCAGCCCAGTTAGCCCAGTTTAACTAGAGTGAACCCTGAGCCTTTTAGTCGCGAGAACAGAAACCTGGCAATCAAGGAATCAAAGCTGCAAAACAATGCCTTTTGTGACTATGTATAATCTCTGGAGATTACTTATTATTACAATGGGGGCTATCATACCAGAGCCTGAATAACTGATCCACTGAAGGAATATCTAATTCTCTAGGGGTATGTATGTTTGTTTTATTCACTACTGTTAGTTGGGATATTTGAAAGTTCCTTAAAAATAGACCTTAACTTATCAAGAACTTCAAGTAATAGATATGATTCTCATTCTAAAATGTCCAACAAATTTTGCCCAGTATAGATGTTAATCATTTCTGCCCATTATAATCCAAGGATTACAATTTTATTGTACTTCAGGGTGTTAACTAGTTTTGGATGTGATTCAAACTTACTTTATTAATCCTATACTTTTGTAAAACAGATTTACCATCTCATAGCTTCTCTCATTAAGGAAATCATTAATGATTAATAAAGCAAAATGATCTCTGACATGTATTCATTTTTAAGAGGAAAATATATGCTTAACAAAGAGTGGAAAAATACCATTGTTTGTTCTCATTGATTAGTGGGATGCTCAAGGGACATTTCCTCTAGTCTTCTTATTTTCAGTATTAACCACTTTAAGTATAAATTCATTTTAAATGGAAAAGGATAACTCAATAGATTTTGTGACTATGTGTTATGGAGAGTCACTGTGTGTGCTCAGAAACAAGGCTGGAGAATACGGGGTATATAATGTGCAGGAAATGCTGAGCACCATGACACACCCTTCAACTTTCTGTCCAGCTGCCACTGGACAACTTGCCATGAAGTTCTAGACAACTTGCCAAATTCACTGCCTAATTCCTGATGACTCATGATTCCACCTTCTACATCTATCATAATCATATACCTGCAGATCTAACAATATAAATAATTCAAATATGCATTTCCTCAGTCTTAAAATTTTATAAGATGCAAGAAATTCGGTAAAACTCACAACTACCATTTGTTGGTAACTATACCAAATGTATAGTTACAAGGATTCCGAAGAGCCACTGAATTGATATTTAGGCTCCTACAGGCCTTCAAAATACCCACACATGCCTAACAATAGTGTCCTGGGAAAAGTAGAGATAGTGGGAGAGTCTAGGAAGTGACAGCAGTGGCTGACACATGTGAAATTAATTCTACATCCCCACGTCACCCTTGGAATGTGTCTCCAAGGCTTAACTTTAGATTCTGGTCAATGAAACAGTGAGGTGAACAGAAAGATTACCAATCGCTCCATCTCCTGCTCCCTCAATCTTTCCTCCCTCTGTCGCCGATGATAATCCATGAGGTCATCACGTCCTGAAATGGAGCTGATGCTGCTTTTCCTTTCCCGAAGGACAGGCTGGGGGGTCCCTGAGGCCTGTCTGAGGCTGTCCAAGTCAGTGTCATCGAAGTCCACAGAGCCACAAGAGAAGTTCCTCCTGGCCACGAACACTCTGTCTATTTCCACAGTAGGAAATGAATGGCTTGGGCTGGTCCCCGAGAATAGAGCCCTGTCAAAGTCATCAGAGGCACAGGAGGAGGTGGAGGCCAGAAGCATCTTCCGAGCCACCCGAGGACTGGCAGGTACACTGAGGGTGGAACTTGCATAAGGAATGCCCTCAGATGCAGAGGTTTTATAAGGTAAAGCCCCTGAGCTTAGAGAGGAAAAATTAAGGTAATTGTCATTGTCTATCATGCTATGAGGTAGATCCTTTTCCCCTGGTCTGGTTCGTTTGGAATTGCCTAGAGAATTTCTTGGAGGCAAGCTGAGAGGTGTCAGCTGGTTCTCTGTGGCTTTGTACAACCTGGGAAGCGATCTGCTGTAGGCTCCCATGTGGCTTAGGCTGCTGCCTGAATACTTCCTAGTTCTTAAACTGACATTTTCAGACGCAGGTTCCTTGTGGCGGGTTAACTTGGGCTGAAGTGCCAGGTTGTCCTGAATGTTCATTTTCCTGGCTTGCTTTGGGCTTGAAGGCATGCTAGCTGCCCCAGATCTGCTGATGGGAGGGGGCCCACTGTCATTCAGGGAACCTCCATTCCACATGGCCAGGAGTGAGCCAGATGCCTTTCGTCCTTCCAGTCCTCCAAAAAAGTAGACATTATCATGGGATTTATTCCTAGAGCTGTATTTAGAATAGGGAGGTTTCTCTGAAAGTCTCGAGGACCTTTCAGTGTCCCGGCCAGTATAATGCTCAAAATCTGCCCTTCCAAGTGGATATCCACTGAGGGAGTGTGTAGTACTGAGGACGGGAGTGGGAGGCTTCATGGACATACTCCTGTCGGTTTCATCAGAGAACTGCTTGCTCCCCTGGATTTTGGTCAAGGAGGGGCTGCTCCTGACATTGGTGCCCAAAGGAGAAGGGCTCCTCTTAGCAGGCACGGGTTGTGAGAGGGTTAAATATGAACCAGAATAGTCTCCATTGGCTTTAAATTTCAGGCTGGAAGAATATTTTTTGGGGCTTAGGCTCTCCATCATATTTTGGGAATCTGTGTCCAGGGATTGCACTACAAATCCTTCCTCGGTGCTACCATTTTGTAAATCCAACTGCTTTTGCATGTGGCTACACTCTTCCATAATCTCGCTGGATTCTGTAAGGGAAAAAAAAAATAGAGAAAGCTTTATGTAACAAAACAAAACAACAAAACCCAACTCCCTGTGAGTCTACCGCTGAACAAATAGTCTTGGAATATGACCCAACCCAACGAAAAAACACAAACTCTATTTTTCTAATAACCTAATAAAATTGCACCAGAAAATGAAGACTAAGGACCACTGATCAGAGATTTTTTTTTGTACAAAAAGAAAAATATCTCAAGAGGACATGATATTTGAGGAAAGCAAATTTCTTTTTTTAATATTTCTTTAGTTTTCAATGGGCCTTTATTTTCTTTATTAATATGGGATGCTGAGAATCGAACCCAGTGCCTCACACATGCTAGGCAAGCACTCTGCCACTGAGCCACAACCCCAGCCCAGGAAAGCAAATTTCTAACCAAGTAATGGTGTAGGAGTGTTTCCCTTTGGTGTTCAAGTCCTTGGAGAACAACCTGCTCCTACCTAGCAAATGCCTAAAAGGACTTTGCGGTGGTTTTTCTTTTAGATTTCCCTGCTAAAATTATTAAGTGCTCAGAAGTAGTCCTGAGGAAACAATCTACATTTGGCAGAGAAAGAAAGTTTTGTGTTAGACACTGATCAAAAACATGAGGGTTAGAAGACAGCTCTTTAAAAGAGGGCTGTGGGAGTTTCCTTCTTAACAAGAAGACTTATAGTTCCTCTGCTCATCTCATCTTTGGCATCAAACTCTCTCCCCAACCAGGAACATCTTTCTCCCTCTGTGGACCTTTCAGAACCTATCTGTTCTTCAAAGTGCAGATCAGAGTTCTTCTGTCTTCTACAATCAAAATCTTTTCCAAAAATTTCCTTAAGGATATGTTTTGGATCCTAGTTTAAATAACATTAAGAAACCAAAGTTCTAGGCTATGAAAATGTCTTTGAAGTACAAACTATTTCTAAAAATGAAAAAGGTTATATTTTTAACTGATAAAAATATTGTTCTTTAATTATCAGCAAAGGAAAAACACAATTTAAACATTCCTATTGAACAGATGCACTGTTAAGGCTGTCCTCCAGCTCTCTGGGATCTAAAGACACAAATTATTACATCTGTGGTCTATATGTGCAGTGTCACTTATGGTTAGTGATAAGTTTCATGTGATTGTCTCTATAAAAGTTAAAGAGAGTATGTCTAGTATTGCTATCTTATTTCCATCACTGCCTCCCATTATCCCGTAGGTAAGAAACTCAATTAACACAATTTTTAAAATTTTATTGCAGCTCACTCCCTCCCAGCTGCGTATCAAGGACTTCACTCTGCTTGCTCAGCCTCAAGGACTTCCTGGGAAATTCAGGTTACCTAGTGAGGAATAACTTCTTACACAGGCTAAAGCCAAGAAATAGTATGGCTGCTTACATCCTGGTTATGATCCAACTACCCATAAAGCTGCAGCTTCACCAAAAAGATTCTGTCTTGGGTCCCTTTCCCTCTACTTCAAAGTCTTGCATGGATGCATACAAGCCTAATTTTTTTAAGTGTATGTCAAAAAAAATTGACGTTCTTCTCTAGATTTGTCTCCCAGCTGGCATCTGACCTTGTCATCTGGCCCTTGCAAAGTCTTTCATTCCTCAAGGCTGGTACCCTCTCTGTTCCCAAGACAAATGTCCCTTTCAGCATTTGTCTGTGACTATCAATTTTAACCTTGACAGCAACACCATACTAGTTTGAGATATAGCTCATCCAGCTCCCTTGGAGGACTGAAATTAAGAGGACCCCTAGATTTAGTTGCTTCTTTTCTGAACTAATTTATCTCCAGTTGGTTTTCTGTATTGAAATTTCAGCATGTCTTGACCAGTTTTCCCAAATTAAATATTTCAATATTGAGGAAAGATGGAAATTAATGGATTCCTAAGACTTTCTAGTGCTAATTATTTTAATGGCAAAAAATACCCTCAATGCCTAACAGGGAGAAGAGTTGAATAACCAACAATACATCATATGAGTGAAAAGAATGCAACCATTTAAAATTATATTTTGAAGAATATTTTATAGTATAAAATGCACTCATATAACCAACATTTTTAAGGTTCAGAGGTGGGGCTTTAGGCAGTGATGAAGGCTATAACCTCATCAGTGGATTAATCCATTTGATGGGTGCTAACTGTAGGCAAGTGGGCATGGCTGGAGGAGGTAGGGTCATTGGAGGTGTGGCCTTAGAGTATATCTGTCACTGTCTCCTTTCTCTTCCTCTCCCTCTCTCTTTCTCTCTACTTCCCAACTACGATGAATTGATCAATTTTCCTTTGCCACATCCTTCTGACATGATGTTTATGGATCAAGCCTCTGAATCCTCTGAAATGGTGAGCCCAAAATAAAATTATCCTTCTCTAAACTGTTTTTGTCAGGTATTTTGGTCAGTGAGGAACAGCTAACACATCCACCCACACACAGGTGCTCAGGCCAAATTCCTGGGAGTCATTATTGATCTCCTTCAACACTAGCACCTCTTTCTTCATAGTATCCACTAACAAACCCTATCAACATCTACTCCTGACATATTCTCAATCTGATCACTTCTTGCGATTTCCACTGCTGCCTCCCTGGTACAAGTCAGTTTCTTCTCTTCCTCCTATGCCTATTCTACAATAGCAGCAGTAACAATGGACTGGAAAAAGTCACACCAAAAAATAATAGTACTATCAGGGTGGTGGTATTACCAGTGATTTTTAATTTATCTGTCTCCTACAGTTTTTATTTTTCATAGCTTATATATGAGTTATTTTTTAAGAGAGAGAGAGAGAGAAAAGAGAGAGACAATTTTTTAAAAAAATATTTATTTTTCAGATTTTGGCGGACACAACATCTTTATTTTTTTATTTTTATGTGGTGCTGAGGATCGAACCCAGCGCCCTGCGCATGCCAGGTGAGCGCGTTGCCCCTTGAGCCACATCCCCAGCCCCAGACTAACTTAATATGTAATGTTTGAAGACTGCAACATTTTTCTTACTCTGCTAAAACATTCTGATAAAAATGTTAATTACACAGATTTATCCATTTCATACTTTATGCATCTGAAAACCTAAAATATCAAATATAATACCATCCTTGATGTGAATAAAACTAACAGAATGGTTACAAAAAAAAAAAAAATCTTCAGATGCTTGCTGGACATAGCCTAGACAATAATACTAGTATGTTCATTTTTAAAAATTTAGTTACTAGGATATTTTCTTATTTGAAGTGGTCCTGTTTATTGAACAGGAAAAAAAAAAACCAAAATTCTTAACAAATAGATCTGGGTATTTTATTCATTAAATAGGTATTAAATGCATACAGCATATCAGACATTTATGCAGTGGGCATTCATTAGTGTTAGTCGCTGATGTTCCAGTTAGCCTTTTTTCAGGAACATGGAGGGTGGCTCTTCCTCATCCCCATGAGGGTATGTGTGGCTACATTCTTCTTTCAATCAAACTTGAGAGAAGGAGACCTGTCAATTTCTAGCTGAAGCATTAGGAGCTGAGCATGGTTCACCATCTCCAGTCCTCCTATAGATGATTAGCTTCTAAACAAGTTTGTGGAGGCTTTTTCAGCCTACACCCCCCACCCCCGAATGAGGAAGACATGCACCCTTGCCAACTCTGAAGATGATCATCAGTTACTGAGATTTAGTCATGTGTATTCCTTTTTTGTTACTCTAAAGATGCTATCTTCACTAAGTGCTTGCTTACCAAGCTCTGAGCTAGGCATTTGGAAAAAGACGGTACAGGATATAACTTCTTGTCCTTACAATGCTTACGTCCAAAGAGAAAGATGCACACAGGTGTAAATGATAACCATTCACACATGAATAAAGGATTGATCAACAGACTGGTAAAGAACATGGAGTCGCACTAATCCAGTAAGAATGGCAGTCTCTGGGAGGTAACTATGGAAAAAATGACAATGAAGCCAAGTCCCAGTGAACCAAAGAGGATTGGCAGGTTTTATCCAATTGTGACATAAAGTCACTTTCACATCTAAAATTTTGTGAATCTAAGAAAATAAGCGAAATTCCAAGCCCATTTGAGGTGGTCTAACCTCAGTGTTGGTAATTCAACAAGTCTCCTGACTATGACATAATAAAAACAAAAACTGTGTAAGAAACAAGCTAATTTCTGTATCATGGTTCTTAAACACCTAGGGATGTATCTCTCCTAAAATGAACTGTATTTAATAATCATGTGTTACTTATTTTAAATCTTTTTCCATCTTCACCACCTCGGTCCTCATGGGAACAGAGTTAAGTTAAATAGAAGAGGCATTCCCCATGGGGCAAAGGCAGCAGGCCAGAGAGCAGGCAGAGCAGATGTCATTAGTCATAAGTCAAAATCCAAGCACTCAGCCCAAGCTCAAACTTTTACCCATTTATTACAGTAGTAGAAAATTCAAGGGTTTAACCCCTCATATGAAAATGCATATGTAAAACTTTTGATCCAGCAGTACATGATTTGGATATCATTTTAGATGATGAGATGTATTAATACACTTGAACCTGTTTGAAGTTGCAAATGTTATTTCATCACCTGAATGAAATATTACCAAGCTCTGTCCCCTCTTTATCTGGGGGATAAAGCTATAAAATAGTAAACTACCACAGATTCCCTAACATTTGTCTTCTTCCCCTGCTCACACATGTCTTTTTCTTTTCCTAATAAAAATGTACAATTACTAGGGCAGTTTCATTTTCCAAGCAAAACACAATATCAAAATATTACAAACTAGTATAAACTGAAAGAAGATCGGTTCTATACTCTAGGAAAGAAACAAGCAGAACATTTACAAATCCTAAGCCACATCTGAGAGACAGCCATGAGACATTTTTCAGCCATGCATGTTTGTTGAGAAAAGTTACTGATGACATAGATGAAAGGACATGCCAGAGAAAATTTAAAGGGATACTCATCTTTGATACTCCAGTTTTTCATTTCAAACTCATGGGGCCTGTGAAGTACGTGCAAAAGGTTGTACATTTAAAGATTGATCATTAGGTAC